AATTTCAGTTCTGACACATTTGTGAGACGTTGAACAAGTTCTCTTCTTTCATGGGGCTTCTGATCCCTGCTCCTAGAGTCTGTAAGAGACTGTGACAAGAGCTTTAAGATGGCCTCTGAAAGGTATCCTGCTTTCACCACGCATGTGCACATCTATCAGCTCCAGAGCCGGGATGCAGGCAATGACAGGTGAGCTTCCTCCTCAGTTTTGTCAGTCCACCAATTAAGGGCATTCTTAGTGCTTCGCATTTAGCTGCCCGTACCCAGCCCTGTCCATTGACCCAGTCCCTACTCACTCACCAAGACCTGTTTCATTTTCTCCATTACGCTTCCGCTTCTCCTAACCTGGACAATCCCCCCTCACCAGACTTTGGGAGCTCCATGCTTGTTTTGGAGCTTGCTTTATTGTCCTGATTCCCCTCAGATAGGAAGATGGAGGCCGGAAACTATACTTGCTGACCAGGCTAAATAACAGAAGTCACAGTAGGTTAGGCTGATGCTAACTCCCTCACAGGCATTTTTCTGCCTTCTGCCTTCTGCCCACTCCTGCCTCCTATCTGTGTCGTCCCCACAGCTCAGTCCTCTCTTCTCCACAGCACCAGTGGTTTCAGTTCAGTTGCTACCAAGCCCTCCCCATGGTCCTTTCTTAAAACCTAATTTTCTGATGGAACCTTTCCCATGGGGTCCAATTAGTCCTGGGCTAGGTAATAAAGAAGAGGATGATAATGAGTCTCAAGCAGTCTTTTGGTGATTCTAGTTTGGGTCACCCTCATCCATGTAAATACAAATCATCCCAAATGCTGTGGATGTCACTGATGAAAAGGAACACTTAGTTGCTGTCTAGGACAGCAAGCTGGGAGGCAAGCTAGCAGCCCGGCAGATGATCTGTTCTTATAACCCAAATTGGCCCACATGATCTCCTCCTCCAGGGACCAGAAGCTCTCCCAGATCTCTGGGGCTTGTACTTGGAGATACACTTGCTTATTTACATGCGTACAGCACAGTGCCAAGCCTTACTCTCAGCTGGCTCTTCCTGAAGTTTCAGCCTGGCCATTAGAAAGGAAAGGTGGTTTCAAAGGCATTCAGAGAGCAACGAAAGGAGCAGGTGGTCTCGTGATGTACACCAAATGTGTGTATGTGCACGCCTGTTTATATGTATATGTGGTGTTTGCTCATACGTGCACTTCCTCATACAACGAGAAACTAAAAGACAGAAAGAATCAGGTCTGAGCTGAGTACACAAAGCTTTTCAATTTCAAAGAAGTCAGAAAAGGGAAGCTTCAAGTCTTAGACACTATGCCCAGGTGTTTGGAGGGTTGATCATCAGTGTTAATGGTTTTTTTTCTTTTGTTGTTTTCATGTCTTTTACACCACAATCTGAGATAGCAGCTTTCTGAACTCTATTCTGACAACCACCTTATAAGAGAGGCCTGCCTCTGTATCCCCACTTTATAGATGGGGAAACTGTGGGTTAAGGGATTAATTCATTTGCCTAAGATTATCTAACAAAGGAGTAATAAAGCCAAGATTCAAAGTCAAGTTTCTTCAACAAGTAAACATAAATTTTACCTTACAGGTCAGAAGAAAAATCTAAAATGTTTATGGAAATAAAAAAAGGACAGCACCCGAGAATGCATGCAGGTGCATACACTGAGCTGGACCCTGTTTGCTACTCATCTTGCAACTAAAAACCAGCCCAAGCCAGATTGCAGGCTCCTGAAGGCCCATAGACCAACCTGGAATCAGGCAAGGAAACACAGGCTTTTCTGAGGCAGAGGCATGACTCTCTGGAAGGAGCCAGACCAGGAAGGTTCCTAGAGAAGCCCATGCCCACATCTGACCACATTTGGATGATGAGAATCAAGCTAAGGAAGCCCTTCTAACCATAAGACCAGAGGTGACTCGGTATAACTGCGGGTCAGAGGAGACACTAATTCAATGGAGAGGAAAGTTGGGACCCTTGTGCCTCAGTCAGAGAAGTGACCCCTAAGGGCCAGCACCACAGGAGTCCACAGTGCCGTTCAGGACAGGTATTGAGTATGTAATATTGTGCAGCATTCAAAGGTGGCTTTGAGTCTGTGGCTGAAAGGACAAGGCTGCTCCCTTAAGCCAGAACACTGGTTTGCACAGACACAAGCAAGTTCTGGTTCCCCACCCCACACACAGCCTGCTCACATGCTAGTGGAGACTGTAGTAACTGATGGCCTGCACTCAAGGACTGTACTCAAGGACCTCTCTGCTGGGAGTCTGGCAACTAGAAAGAGAATGGATACTGAGCTCTTGATGCTGTGAGGTCACTGGCACTTTACCGCATGGCTCCTTCAGGTGACTGGCTGCCTGGAGTTCATTGTCTTTCTCTCGGCTAAGTTGTGCCCCTCTCTAGAATGGTTTCCAGTATATATAAGCTGGTCCAGTATATATAAGGCGTAGGAGGGTAAGGAAGCAGGCTCTAACTACTCAGTCAGTGTATTGTTTCTGAACTGGAACATGGTTGCACTGCAATTTCAACTATTGGTAAAAACCCCCAACAGCTGGCAGCTTCTGGGTCTTCTGCAGCAAGAAGGGAGAACACATTGCTATCCAGACACACCATCTTACAGGGGTTCACGGCCAAGAGAGCACTTCCAAACAGTTGTCCAGAGTGTGTGTAGTACAACTCAGAGGCTGCTTACGACGCAGAGACTGTGTACGACCCAGACGGGCTGCTCCATGCTCGTTCCCAGCTGTCTTCTTTCTGCCTGTGCTAGAAAGTGCACTGAGAAAGAAAGCGATCTCTCTGTTCAGTCCCTCTCACAGGCCCATCTTCTCTTTCTTGATGATGGGAATTGAAATGATAGGAACCTTAAAAACATCCATGTCAGAGACACAGACACAGAACACACAGTTTTATTGTCCTTCTCAAATATTCCTCAGGCATTATATGATTTAGAAATATAAAATTTAAATGCATTGAAATAAGGAATGTCTGCCCTGTAAATATCAGCTCAACTGTTATAATAAATGTGTCTGCTGTAACCAAATATTACTCGTCTCAAAATAAATAAATAAATAGCAAATGGTGCTCTTTGCAGCCTCCTAGTGGTTGGAAGGGGAACGACAAGAAGAATTCAGAGATTAGCTCTCATTCTCAAGGCCCATAAACTCTTACAGTAGAACAACAAAAAGCTTGGCTTTAACCACGAAATAGATATGTTCTAAGTGAAAAAAAAATAAACGAGCTTATATAATAGCTAAGATTATATATGTATAATATGTATAACACACACAGAGCCACACTCTAGATCAGTGGAAGCCTGCATTGCCCTGATTTACTTTGTCTCCCTAGTCTCCGATTTCCCACTCTCACCAAACAACTAAGCAACTTGTTACACACAAGGAGCTCTCTTCTCAAATGACTTCTTCCCTGGTCTTTTCTTACTGTGAGCTCCCTACCCTCTTTGTCGACAAGGGCTTATAAAGATGCCACTTACTCTGCCACAAAGTGGTTGATAGCCCCGGAATAAAGGAATCTGCCTGCCTATCAAAGTGTGTGTACTGGGAGGAGAGCAAACCATTTGGACGTTCGTTGTTTTCTTTATTCTTATTGCAGCGTATCACATTGGTCCCTTTATACAGACATACACTTTCTAAAAGGCATTTTTGTGATGGTCTTTTCAAAGACGACACTCCTTGTTAGGAATGGGGAGGGTGGATGTTAGAATGACGCTGCTGTATAAAACTTTTTCATATCATGCCACCAAAATTTAATAAATGAAAAGAATAGAAGTATCTCCCATCTCTAATTTATCACTTGCAAATGACAGGCAGGGCAGTTCTCAAAGCCCAGACAAGGCGAATGGCCCGCTTCCCCAACTCCCCAGTCACCAGAGAGATCCAGTCTGCTGTGTGCTCCTCCCTGCTCTGCTAGCAAGCCTCTCTAAATCGGGCTGTCTCTAGTTGTGAGTCTTTTTCCAACAAGGACAAACCGCCAGTCTTCAAAATATCTCCAGGCAGGAATTCCAAGGACCACATAATCCCTCACCTTCATCTGACAAAAACCAAAAGCACATCCTCCTCGTCAACAGCGCAGAGAATCAACAAGTTACCACTTAAGCCGAGCGCTCCATCCTGAAATAAGTCAGAGCCTCCCCTGAGCCCACCACCATCCACCCCAACCCTGCTCCTGTGATGCCTCCCAACCTCCGGCTACCGCGTGACCTTCTGTTTCAGTCCCGCCCCCTAGACGCTGGCTCCCCAGCATGCGCTCAGCCCAGCGCTCCCTGGCAGCTGTCAAAGTCTGGGGCTCGCTGGCTTCTAGGTTCGCCCCGATAGCGCCAGCATTCATGAGAATCTTGGAGGGTTGGAGAGGTCAAGATCAATTAGAAAGACCAGAGAGGAGCTCTGGGCTCGGAAACTCGGACCTCTGGAGAAAAGCAGAGTGCGGCAGGAGGGACCATCACATCCCGCGCTTCTTCCGGACTCTGCCCATCGTGAGGGTGTGCGTTCCCAGGGGACCCAGAGCTTGAGCTGCGGAGCCTGGGGAGCGCCCGGGTGCTGGCAAGGCTTTCAGATTCCTACAAGTTCCCAAGCCATCCCCAACCTGGAGTACAGTCCTTCTCAGCTCGCTCCTCTAAAGACTCCCCTGGTTCTTGCTCCCAGAACAGGAGTAGACAGACACCTGTCCCCCGCCCCTCCCCCTGCCACCTACAGCGCCTGTACCGGGTCCTGCTCCAAGCATCTCTGAGCCGAGCCCGCGATGCTCCCAACCCAGCACACAGGGCCCCAAAGTTCTCTGCACTCCATAGACCTCGCCTTCTCCTTGGCGCCAGGACCCCGCCCAAAGAATGGACCAGAAAACCTCTTGGGTCCACAGCTAAGGGCGCTGACTTCGGGGACCTTGCGAGTGAAACCGAAGCTGCCACAGGAAGGGTGGGTACTGAACGCATAAGTCCGCGGTTTGCACCCTCCAGCCCGCCTTGCCTGGCTCTTTCCTGGTGAGGAAGAAACTTCCCCAGCACCCACCTTTCGCCGCGAGGAGGCGGCGCCGCCGGCTGTCCCCGCCGTCGCCACTGCCGCCGCTGCTCCCCACGCCCAGCGCCAGCAGGAGCGGCACCAAGCACAGCCTCCTCGGCAGCATCCTCGCCGCCTGAGCCGCTACCGAGCTACTGCCGCCGCCGCCTAACGCTCGTTGCCGGTGTCCCCCTGTGCCCGCCACGGGTCGCCTCGCTGCAGCTTCTGGGTAAGCTACAGGCGCCGCCGCCGCCGCCCTCTACCTCGGCCTCCGCTGCCCTCCGCCGCGCAGCTCGCTTGCCGGCAACAGCAGCACTCACTGGCGCGGACCGGAGCGGCTCAGGCGCTCACCCCGGGACGGCCCGTGACGTCACGAAGGGAGGGGGTGGTTCGTGCATATTCATGAGACGCGGACATTGGCGCCGGGTTGTGCGCTCCTCCGCCTCTCAGCTCAGGCCCCCAACTTTCCACAGCCATCCCCAATGCCGGGCACTTGTATGATCCCCCTCTGTCAGGCTCCCGAAGGACCCTAAAGGGAGGCTCCAGGGAGCCTTAGGGCTTGGCGTCCCCGCTGCAGCTCTCCAAACTGCAGCTGCGAGGTGCGGTGAGCTCCTCCACAAAGTGATCACCTGCGACCTGAGGATTTTCTGTAAGGACGCAGGCGACCCTATCCCGGTGTGCCCTTTGAACCGACCTCCCTGAAGAAGGGGCAGGATACTGTCTCTCAGGGCCCTGCCCCTGGCTGTGGTCTAGAAATGGACGCTCTATGCCGCCTGGTCTGGGGAGGGCGCCAGGCTCTCGCTAGAGCTGCAAAGCGCTGGTGCCTCTAGGAGTTGTAGGGCAGAGATCGCCTAGGACCTGCGTGGCAATGCCCGGCTCTGCGCCATTTCAGCCACTGCTGGAGTCAGGCACTAGCTGAAACAGAAAAAGCTACCTTCAGTCTGCAGTGGGAACCACATTCAAACTTCCCCCTCAGAAGTTAAGACTTTTTCCCACTGTCTTTAGAGCATGCCATGCCTTCTAAAATCTCAAGCCGGGGAGCATCGTCATTGGAAGGTAGGATTCATACTGTTCTCCACACCTTCAAACACACTCAGGCTTCAAAAGGACCAAGACCGTTCCCAGCAAAACCAACCAATGGCTCACAATAAATCACTGGCTGTATTTCACCTGGTATGCTATTTTCCCACAATTCAGGGGTCAGATAGAGTTGAGAAATGAAGTAAATAAAAAAAAAACATAGAAACAAACAAAATGATGCCTTCGTTCATCATTCATTCAAGACATTTCCTGAGCACTAGACAGATTATGAATGCAGGGTCAAGCAATAGAGGACGCAAGGGTCCCCTCCCCCCCCCCCCCCCGAGAAGCCAAAAAGGGGATAGACACAGTTAAAGTCCACATGCTATGGTCCTAAACATTCTTCATGGTCCTAAACATTCTTTATGGTGTTGCTCAATGTGAGCCTTTACAAATCAATTACCGAAATGTGTATATTGCAACAGCGACTAGACAGCACCTCATAATTAATAAGTGTGGTTTAAAGCACACAAGCAAGCCATAAAATGCATTAAGAGCCTTCTGCCGCCCAGCCTCCCTGTGTGGTCCTGGCAGCACACCTGGGGCCCTGTGGTGGTGAAGCAGACACTTCAACGGTGGAGGTGACAGTGGAGGTGACAAGAGGTGCTTGGGAACAGCTGCGAAGCCCGGTGGCCACAGGGGGCCCAGAGCTCACTTCTCCTGCAGGCCCCCTTGAGTCCACTGAGCAACACCTGTGCAATGGCTCTCATTTCATACGGGAGGAAGTGGGGGCTTAGGAAAGTCAGGTTGCTCCCTTCCCCAAGGTAAAGAACTAGCAAGCATCAGGCCAGCATCAAGACCTCACCCTTCTCGGATTTGAAAGTCACAGTCCGGAGAATGGGCTGCGGAGGTGGACGCTGACGGCGGAGTCGGCGAAGCCAGTGATGAGAAATGTCTGTTTGACTAGTTTTCTGTCATTTGTGCTCCATCCAATGCAGCTGATATTTACCCCCTTCTTCACTCGAATAAGAACCTCCTTGCTGATTAAACACTATCCTTCGAGGCCTTGCGCTGACTGTTGTTAAAAATCAACTGGTCCCAAACATGTGACAAAAAGTTTCAAATCCAGACCAAATAATGAGAAGAAGAACACAGAACTAATTTCAAAACACCCTGAAACAGAAAACAGCCAGGAAAGAGCACTACAGGGAAACACAGTAAGTAGGAACAGGGAACTTAAAAACAGGCCATCTGTGGCTGCTGTCCATCTCCCCTCCTCTGGAACAGGGGTAAGAACATTTTCCTAGATGAATTAAGTGCTGCAGGAGTTTCAACCTAACAAGCTGTCCAGTCGTGCCTCTGTGGAGCTGTTTCCCATGGTGACTCTCTGCTGCTCCAGCTCTGAGCTTGGCCACGTGGTTGGCTTTGGCTGGAATAGTCGCGGGCTTGACTTTTTTCTAAAGCCTGGAACAGTCGCGGGCTTGACTTGTTTCTATTTCTTGGACCCCTGCCACTGCTGTGAGAAGAAACTCATGCTGAACCTGCAGGAAGGTCAGAGGCCAACACAGGGCAGAGCTGAGCCATCCCAGCCAGCCAAAGCCACTCTAACCTGGTCAGCACAAATGATCCACAAGTTGACCACAGACAAGTGAACAAACTCAGGCAAGCCATCTTGGCTGATGCCAAGCCTGGCCCGCATCAGAACTGTCCAGCTGACAGCTGAGAAATAGAAATGGCTGTTCCATTAAGTCACTGTGTTCGAGAGTAATTGATTAAGCAATACTATAGCCACTGCTTAAGGTCAGTACAAGAAGTGAAAAATGAATGCGAGACACTCAATATGCTGTGCATGGCCACTGTTTAATAATATGAATATGTCTCCTTCTTCGCCTACTTTCCAAGTCTCTGAAATCCCTGCCATAACCATGATTTGGCTTTCTTGGGTAGGAGAAAGACAAAATGACCTGGGTTAGAGTAAAGGAAAGTAAGAAAATTTATCTTAACGATACTCAAACCGCCAAGAGTTTCCATTCACGCCACGTGCACAGCACTTCCACCGGGCCACTCCAGGAACAAGGATTCCGGCAAGCAACCCAGCAGCCAATGGATCCCATTCTCTCAGTGCTGGACTGGGTAACGGGGTCCTTTAATTCTTGCAACAGCGGTTGCTATTTCCCATGTTATTGTTGATTGCATCTCTACCTCCCAAAGTTTGAATGACTTGTCCTCATTCACATAATTGTGCAGAATATCAATTCACATCTGCCTAATTCCACATCCCGTCTTTCCCCCATATGTGATGGTTTCGGGGAGAGGCACGGGAGACCAATAAGCAAGGAAAAATAGGTTCAGATCAGAAAAGGTAGCTTTGGGGTTTGACTTTTTAAATCGTTTATTCTTCATCACCGCTGAGTAATGACCATTTAACTAACCAGTTATCACCCAAGCGGTGATACAAATCTCTGAGTTTGTGGAGGCCACGCTCCTTATCCTTGATTCATTCTTGTTCTCTTCAAGGCCTCGCTCAAAATTTCACGAGCAGGATGACGTAAGGCCTGGGTTGCTAAAAAGCCTCGAGCCCAGGGCCTCACCTGCAAGGCAATAGTGAATCTCGGGCAATTCATCTGGGTCAATAGTTTTAATAAATAAATAACTCCTGTGCCCCAGAAAATAGAATCTAACAGGAACAGATCTCACACGAACACAGCGGTTCTCGCTCGTTGTCACCGTAGCCATTAATGCCTTGCCCAATTAAGCCCCAAAACACAGCCCCTGAATAATTGAAACTGAATAAATGAAGAAAATAAATAAATGATACCTGCTTATGGAAACTGATTTTTTAAAAGAAAATTAAATGGAAACTTTCCACATGACCCACATTTATTTCTGCTAAGAGTAAGTAACTTCGCAAGGAAGGCTGGGAAACTGATGTTCAGAAAACTAGAACTGCATATGTTTCCCCAATTCCATCTCTGCAGGTAACACGGGGGTTCTGTGGCCCCAGAGGAACTAAGCACATCACTGCGTTTTCCACATTGCTTTAAAAAGTCTGATGCAAGGGCAGCTACTGCTGCAATAGGAATTTGTTTGTTTGTTTGGTGGATGGGTGGGTTTTGTGTAGAGAACCTAGAAAGCCTTGAGTAAGTGTGTAAAAAAAAAAAGTTGAGATCTTGAGTGAATGTATATTGTTTAAATGGGCACAGTCATGTCAAGGACCTAACACCTCAGACCCATGGGAACGACAAAACCTTCCCATCACCACAGGGCAGGATAAGGCTTTGAGGGATGCCACAGCCTTCCTTTAGTCTGGGTCTAATGTGGCTGTGTGTAAAAAAAAAAAAAATCACCCCCCTCCAAGCTGTCTACAGCCTGAGACTGCTGCCTGCGGATACCTGCTCCATAGAATTGCTAGTTCCCTCCCCTGTGCTGTGCACTACACACTGAGGATCTGGGCTGAGCAGTCGATCCCACTCCATCAGGGTGCACATGGTCCACAAGACCCCAGATTTTCTGTATATGTGTCTGTGTGTCTGTCCTTTCTTCATTGTCCAGTCACCTCAGTCAGTTCAAGTCCCATCAGTGATGGACACAGCATTTGGGTTGGGTTTGCTTGTTTCTGTTTTTAAGTCTATGTATTTTTTTTTAAGCAAAAGTAAGAAATTTTTGTTCACAACATAATTCAGTTCATGTTCAATGCTGTTTGGGCTTTGATGTTTTAGGCTTATCAAGAAAGAATGTCCTAATCAAAAGGAAAAAAAGGAGGAGGAGGAGGAGGAGGAGGAGGAGGAGGAGGAGAAAAAGGAGAAGAAGAAAAGAAAAATAGATGTCATTCATTACAGTAGGACATTATTCCTAAACACTCTCCTATGTTCGTATATATTATATACATATATATGTATATATACATACATATACATACAAATATATATGTATATTTATATCCTGGGGTAGTTCCTGTGAAAACAGCCATATAATTCAGCAACACTTCTTTCACTGTAAGATAGAATTTCTGTCTCCTTCCTTTGGATCTGAGCTCCAACTTCAGTATCAGTGACATCATGTGTCTTCTCAGGGCCAATCATAAGAGCTTCTGCCTTGTTGGCTAGGATGCTTATGTATGAAGGTTGGAGCTTCCATGTGACAAGTCCAGCTACCTGAGACCACCAAGTGGGGCCATTGCAAACATGTGAAAAGGCTTCATGATGTAAGAGCGATAGTCTGAGTTAAATCCAACATTTGAGTCACCCAAGATCCTCTAGATAATCTATTTGCTAGCTATAAAATAACCACATTCCCCAGGATTCACCCCTCCTCCAGATATTTCGATTTTCCCAGATTTA